AATATCGAGTACGGCGAATATCGATACTTTTGCAGCTCTACTCAGCAATCGAATAGACTCGGAACTGGTGACTAGGAGGCCATTCATTCGACCAAGCCTATACAGTTTTTTCTTTCTTTTTTTGTATACAAAGCCTAAGAAAAAATAAGTCTGAAAATAATAAAATTAAAGTGAAATATTTACAAAGTTAACAAAAAAAATTCCTTTTTTCGCAAAATCTATAAATAACCCTTTTAGTTTTCAAAAAATCGGTGCGACAGTTATTATTTTACGCCCTATACTTTGCTATTCATGTTGTGGCAAACACTACTTAGTAAGTAAAGTTAAGTGTGATAGTGAAAAGGTGTAAGCATGGTCGTAGCCAGGTAGGTGCAGGGCGCTCGGGTATAAAAATCAGAAAAATATTAAATTAATTATAAAGCTTAAATTAAAAAAGTGACCACACATTCAGGAAGAGTCTGGAATTCTTTTGTAGAATTTAGTTATTTATTTTTAACATTTATTATTGCTTTGAAAAAGATTTCTAAGATATCTTTGTTTGTTTGCACCTAATTAATGGTAATTTGTAACAATAAATTGCACAAAAAATTAAAAAAAGAAATTGGACTCCTCTTTTATCTTTTGTACTGCTTTTTTTCTATCCAAAATAGCAATGTACTCCTTTCTCCTTTTTAGAATCTGTCAACCCTACTTTCAGTTTTGCCGACCACTGATTTAAATGCTTGTTTCATTTACATACCCATGAATACTGGCGGAGTGTCTGATAACCAGGGCTGCCAATTTAACTCTTTTCCCGTCTAATCTGGCTTTTTCGAAGTCCATATAGGAAATGAGAAATTGTATGTATTTATGTATGTATGTTTTTAAAATTACCAGATAATTAAAAAAGATAATCGACCCTATTATGGGTTTCGACGTCGATGTCATGTTTTCCTCAAAAAATAGCCCTCAACAGTCCAAATGCAGTTTCGCTGACCACAGTAGTTTTGCGAGGAACACATTTACGCAAAAAAATGTTGTGTCGTTGGACTTGCAAGTGCTATTTTTTGTCGATAAAATGACATCGATGTCGAAACCCTTGGACTAATATCTATAAGTAATACAATGCAATTTTGGGCAGGAGTTCAAACTTATACGAATGCAGGTGGCAAACAATTGTTTTCCGATCTGGCGGAATTTGCACTTTATTTGCTTTCACTACCTTGGTCTAATGCAGACCTGGAACTTTATTCAGCCGAGTTCAACTTGGTGAAAACAACTTTCTCTCTTATTTTTCATTTCTGATGAGCTTCGATCCGAGCTGTATTATTCGATTACACGGTTCAACAATATTTAGTCGTATTTTATCTCAACCACGGGGCTGACCTCATCTTATAGATTTTCTGATGCTGATTTGAAGCGCATTTACAAAATTTTTCTAGCACGTCCAGTTTCTGAAAAAAAACCTGTTGAAGTATCGAAAATTTCCAAAAAATTTTAGAAATAGAATTTGGACGTAGTTCTTCCGAAGAAAAAACCACGTATTAATGAAAATGCCATTCGTCTAATGGATTCTACCTTATGTCGATAGAGTAAGTAGAAAGGGGTGAAAAATTAAAAAAAAAACCTTGATAAAAAAACAACGTGGCGGACAACATGGCGAATGATTACACCAGGACAAAGTCACCATGGAGAAGCAGTATGATAGGAAATCAAACCCCCACATGCTTGCTGACTATTGCTGGACCTTGAAAAGCGATGATAATGCGATCCACAAAAGAAAATGTTTGACGGTTTCATTCCAGAATGAGGAAAGTGTTAAGAGACAAAAGACTGGCTAATCATGAATTTGGGATACAGATTTTTTAATGTTAATTTGCTCATGAAATCTCTTTTCGTATTTTTGGGAAAACAAGTGCATGCTTATTGATGAACCGAGGTCTTTTTAATTTTTTAATCATTTCTAATCAACTTATGGACATGAGGTTGATTCCATCAGACGAATTAGATTTTCATTAATTGGTTGTATTTTTCCTCGGAAAAACTACGTCCAAATTATATTTTTAAAATTTTTTTGAAATTCGCAATTTTTGCCTTTTTTCGGTACTTCAACAGTCTTTTTTTCTCAAACGTGCTAGAAAAATTTTGTAAATTCACTTCAAATCAGCATCAAAAAATCTATAACATTAGGGCAGCCCCGGTTTTGAGATAAAATAAGACCAAATTTTATTGAAACGTGTTATTAATTTTAATTACCAGTAGTATTTCAAATGAATTGCTTAAAAGTATATTAATATAAACCTATGTTTATCCGACTTCCAAAAAAGGAGGAGGTTATCAGTTCGTCGGAATATTTTTTTTATTATTTATTTATTTTTTATGTATGTTACCGCATAACTTTGGACCACGTCACCCGATTTCGATAATTCTTTTTGCATCGGAAAGATAGTGTCTCAGAGGTGTTCCCAATACTGGTTTAGATCCGATCATTGGATCATGAAATACACATATATATATATTTTTATATGAGAATTGAAGTCGGTTTTGTTTTTTACTTAAAAATTACTTGTGTTTTCTGCTTTTGTTTTGTGAAATTTAGCTTTTTTCTATCAGGGTTTTTATAAAAATCTGTATTTTTCGCTCGAAAATAGTTGACAGCACTGCTGATAACCGAATAAATTTGTATGGAAAGAGGGAAACTAAAATAGGGTCTGAGATTCCGTACCCATTATATGATTAATTAACCTAATAGAATTAACTAGTTTCTACTGTACATATCGCACGTTTAATAATATAGAGATGTACATAATTAAAAATTTACGTTTTTGGAGATTTCATCATACAATTAATAAGCTTGATAACGAGAATATGTTCAGCTTAATACATGACTAAACTTCCAAAAAATGGCGAGTATATGTGTCTTTCCATCTATGTTTTGGTATACCAAATGTATGAATTGATCAAAAATTGATTGCGTTTTCCCACAGAATTGAAATTTTGAAATAATTCTGTATTTAATTTAATGTGCGACATGTGCATGTGAGTATCTAGTTCCATCCGACTGGAGTAAGACGGTGTACTTTATTTTAACAACTTATTTCTTTCTGTTTTAGACAAAGGCATTACTGGAGAAGTGCCGCTTAAAGCAGGGACGTCAAATACGAACACGCTTGAAAACACAAGCACTGTACATACAAAGGCCATATTTGTTCATGAAGATGTCGCCCCAGATGCAATGGCTATGCATTCGTTGTCTTCGAAAGGTGTACTAAAACCAAAAGAACCAATAAGAGTTGGATTTTACGATATTGAAAGAACGATTGGCAAGGGAAATTTTGCAGTGGTGAAACTAGCAAGGCATCGAATAACTAAAAACGAGGTAAACCGAAACTGGCTGTACATGCCATGTATGTATGAAAATTTATGTATGTACATTAGACCACGTCAAAAAAAAAAATAAAAACTCTGCAATGCGACCGGAATAAGACTCAAGGCTTAGCATTTGGTATAGTTATTATCCTACATGAATCTCAATTCTCTAGGACAATTGTGAGAGGTGCCTCCTCGAGCCTTTAGATTTCCCATAGGAATTACATGAAAGAAAATGATTTCTTTCCTTTTGAGGTCAATATAGGTTTCTAAGATCAATGAAAATGGTCGAAACTGCAAGAATACATCGATAACATGCCATTTGAGTATTGTGCATGCTCAGATTCCTTAAATTCAAAAAAGAAATAAGAATAAATAAAAATTGGTATACACTAGATTTGACCCGAATAGGACAAGGGATTTAAAAATGATAATTTAGGAATTTAAATAATCTGAGTCTGCATAATAATTAAATGGCATGTAATCAATGTATTCTTACAGTTTAAAACGTTTTAATTGATCCTAGAAAATTATATTGACCTCAAAATGAAAGAATTCATTTTCTTACGTGTAATTCCTATGTGAAAACTAAAGGCTCGCGGCGGCACCTCTTACAATTGTCCTAGAGAGGTGAGATTCATGGATGATCATATATCAAATGCTAAAATTTAAGCCTTATTCCGGTCGCATTGCAGGATTTTTATTTTTTTTACGTGATCCAATGTGCATACATATATTAGGTATATTAGGGTGTCCAGGATTTTTTTTTCGAAATTTCATATGTAAGTATGTACCCGCATTGCCAGTGGTATGAGCGAAGCGGGATTTCGAAACCATTTGAGTAAAACAGTAAAACAAGCGGTATACTTAAGTTGAAAGCGGGGAATAATAAAAATCGTAAATAATCAGTAGGTTTTTGATACTTTTCTTAATTTTTACACCTTTCATGAACATGAAATGGTATTATGACTTTGGTACGATGTTTGTATGTACCAGAAAAAGAAGAGATAGACCCATGAAAATACTTACAATTTCGTGAGCTATTTTCTAAAAAAGCATACAAAGTCTACTGAGAAAATCGCCAAGATCGGTGCTGTATAAGCTATATCTCTCATAACATTGATTGTTCAGATACACATTTTTGCGATATAACTCTTTTATGTAGGCAGCTAAAACCATTAAATTCTGTGAACGGTTTACATATCGATCATTCACAGTAGTTAGAAACATTTAAGCGCCACGGAGACCATCAAAAAAATACGTCAAGCATTGCGTATGTGTGAGTGAGGTTCGCTCGTGTCTTGCCCGCAAACGTTCAAATAAACGCGTCAATCACTACTTTGTATTGTGAATACGCAGTGTTCGTTTGTTAGCACGATGTCATCGGATGAGTATTTGTTGTTAATTATTATATCATTAATGGCATAATTTTATATGTTATATGTTATAAATTAATATTTATTACATTTCATAAAGCTAGTAAGCATTGATAATGAGCAATCAAACGTAAAACAATTTCTTTTTCTTGTCCGCGCACTTTCTCACCACGACGCCCAGAGGGCAAGTGAGCTTGTTTTTTGTCAAGCATAACGCGAGACGGTCAAATAAACAGTCATCAAATTCAAATATCAAAATTTTTTGATTTTCATCAAGCATAGCCGACAACAAGTCGGTGTAGTCTACGTGTAGCCGACAAAAGCCGACGACACCGATACACTTAAAGAGTTGATAAAGATATTTGATCGTCTCCGTAGCGCTTTAGATCGGTGCTTTATAAGGCGTATCTTCCATACCAGTGATTACTCAAATATGAGTTTTTTTATATAACTCCTCTATCTATGCACGCTGTGAATATAAACATTTTGGTTATCTCCCAAAAAACTAGGTAATTTAAAAAGCAGTAATCGGTTGAAGTAAAATTGTCTGATGTTACTTCGGCATAGCCTAAGACATCACTGTCCTTGCTTGTGTGGGATTCAAATTAGTTATGTTTATAATGATGACAACATATCGGTAGCCATAGATAATATATTATACGTTTATAACGGGTGATTTTTTTGAGGTTAGGATTTTCATGCATTAGTATTTGACAGATCACGTGGGATTTCAGACATGGTGTCAAAGAGAAAGATGCTCAGTATGCTTTGACATTTCATCATGAATAGACTTACTAACGAGCAACGCTTGCAAATCATTGAATTTTATTACCAAAATCAGTGTTCGGTTCGAAATGTGTTTCGCGCTTTACGTCCGATTTATGGTCTACATAATCGACCAAGTGAGCAAACAATTAATGCGATTGTGACCAAGTTTCGCACTCAGTTTACTTTATTGGACATTAAACCAACCACACGAATGCGTACAGTGCGTACAGAAGAGAATATTGCGTCTGTTTCTGAGAGTGTTGCTGAAGACCGTGAAATGTCGATTCGTCGCCGTTCGCAGCAATTGGGTTTGTGTTATTCGACCACATGGAAGATTTTACGCAAAGATCTTGGTGTAAAACCGTATAAAATACAGCTCGTGCAAGAACTGAAGCCGAACGATCTGCCACAACGTCGAATTTTCAGTGAATGGGCCCTAGAAAAGTTGGCAGAAAATCCGCTTTTTTATCGACAAATTTTGTTCAGCGATGAGGCTCATTTCTGGTTGAATGGCTTCGTAAATAAGCAAAATTGCCGCATTTGGAGTGAAGAGCAACCAGAAGCCGTTCAAGAACTGCCCATGCATCCCGAAAAATGCACTGTTTGGTGTGGTTTGTACGCTGGTGGAATCATTGGACCGTATTTTTTCAAAGATGCTGTTGGACGCAACGTTACGGTGAATGGCGATCGCTATCGTTCGATGCTAACAAACTTTTTGTTGCCAAAAATGGAAGAACTGAACTTGGTTGACATGTGGTTTCAACAAGATGGCGCTACAGCTCGCGATTCTATGGCCATTTTGAGGGAAAACTTCGGAGAACAATTCATCTCAAGAAATGGACCGGTAAGTTGGCCACCAAGATCATGCGATTTGACGCCTTTAGACTATTTTTTGTGGGGCTACGTCAAGTCTAAAGTCTACAGAAATAAGCCAGCAACTATTCCAGCTTTGGAAGACAACATTTCCGAAGAAATTCGGGCTATTCCGGCCGAAATGCTCGAAAAAGTTGCCCAAAATTGGACTTTCCGAATGGACCACCTAAGACGCAGCCGCGGTCAACATTTAAATGAAATTATCTTCAAAAAGTAAATGTCATGGACCAATCTAACGTTTCAAATAAAGAACCGATGAGATTTTGCAAACTTTATGCGTTTTTTTTTTAAAAAAAGTTATCAAGCTCTTAAAAAATCACCCGTTATAAGTATGCATTTAAATAAGAAATATGGTCAATTACGGATGGCAACCGAATTTGAATTGCTTTGCCGGTGGCTAACTGTAAGCTGGCAGTTGAGTTGAGTTGATGCTGGCAAACTATCGATAGTGGCCACTGTGATTGTGTCGATAGTCACTTTTTGCCGATAGTCCATTCCGTAAAGCATAAGTTGTATTTTAAATTCAAATAAAATCAAGATCCAAATGTAAAAATTGACTTCGAAAATGTTTATACATTTATTTAAATCAGAGTGTATATGTATACTGATATGTAGGGCTGGCAACGATTCATCATTTGATTAAATTAATCGATTATTTTTGTCCAATTTACGATTTAATTGTATCGTAGCTTTGTGTTTCATTAATCGATTAGTTGTAAAATTATCGTAAAAAAATTTCCAATACATATGAATTCTGTAGTTGTCTAAAATCCATCCATCGAACACTCTTTTTTGCTAGCTGCGTCAACTTTACTCGACCCGAGGTTCACAAAAATACATTTCAAAGATCCGTTAGCATTGGCCTTATAAATGAAGTTCTTCCGAAATGAAATAATGTGCGCAGATGATCTTATGGAAACGGGTAGCGAGCCGTCACTAGAATCATAAATCTCTTGTACGAAAGGCGAAAAGATGATGATTTGGGTAACCCACAAGATGAAATGAGTTTTTATTTAAATTGTCAAGTCCTAGAACTAAAGCGAAAACTGTTTATTCAAGACTTTCGAAAAAATACTGTCATGTAGTTTCTACCTTGGTGCCTGCTGAGCGCCTTTTTTCAAAAGCAATTGCTTAAAAACAAAACGCTTATCAAACTTTTGTTTTTGCAAACTTGGTTAAATAATAAATAAATATCGTCGCTAAAACTACTCGTTTTATTTTATTTAAGGCTAATTAACAAGAGAATTAGAAAAATATGTATGGAAAAGCGTTTTTGTGAATACTCACTATAAAAATTCGATTATTTAAAAATTCGATTACTTCTCAATAATTGCAATTGTTTTAATAATAAGATTATTTAATCGATTATTTTATTTTATTTTGCCATCCCGGCTGATATGAATATATGGGTCATTCCTGCGAAGACGACACCACAGGTAAAAACTAAATATCAAATCCAAAAATAAAAATTCCCAAAATTATTTATGGTGATTTCGTGTCTTCCAAAAAATGTTGCTCTTTCCCGGTGCAAAATGACTTTGATGTTGCACTCGACCCTGCAAAAGGGCATGTTTTTGTCTTCTTGTCCTTGTCTAGCTCACGCATTACATAATATTGCTGTTTTAAGCAACCGCCTGATTTTCAGGGCAACCATCTCGCCTGACAAAGCTTCAAAGGGTAGAGAATGTGCGTTTTTTGCCGTACAAGAGTGTGAGATCTTAAGAAACGAACAAACAATTTTTTCATCGTTTGCCTTTATTTTAGATCGAGCACGAAAAGAGAAAGGTGCAATCAAAAGGCCACATTTTTTGGTGGAAACGAAATAAGCGTTAGCTACGCTGTGCGTAAATGTCCACTCTCTTCTTCTTAATTGGCGCTGTAACCGCCTAAGCGATTTTGGCCCAGTCCAAAAGAGTACGCCAGTAGTTTCTCTTCTGTGCCAACTGACGCCAATTGGAAGTGCCAAGTGAAGCCAAGACCTCACTCACTTGGTCTTTCCAACGCAGACAAGACCTCCATCGCGACCTGCATTGAATACTTTCACAGCTGGAATGTTTCTGTCCATATGAGCGACATGACAGCCAACGGAGCCGTTGAATTTTAATTCGCTGCACTATATCTATATCATTGTTAAGCTCATACAGCTCCTTGTTAAATCGTCTGCGGTATTCGCCATCGGCAATGCCAAAGTGCAAAGGTCCGCAAATCGTTCGCAGAATCTTTCTCTCGAAAACTCCAAGTTGTCATGCTTAAGCATAATGAGTAATTATGGAAGCACAAGATTGTGCATAGGACTTCAAGGCTGACATTGTTATTGGACTTAATGTTGGTTCCTAAATAAACAATGTCGTCTACTTTTTCAAACGTGAAACCGTCAAAAGTAACATGGGTACCGAGACGATTACGTTCTGATTGTTTATCTGCCGACATTCGCTTTGCTTCTGTATCTAATTCCGAAAAGACAGAACGGACGTAGCCATAGTTTTTACCGATGATGTCGGTGTCGTCGATATACGCCAACAATTGTGCTCTCTTCCGCGGCATAAAGACAACTTCTTTACGTGCTGTTGGAAGCGGGTTTGAAATCGACAAATAGATGGTGTGCATAATACCTGATCTATGGTGTACTTGCCAGGTCTAAAGCCACACTGATAAGGCCCAATCAGTTCGTTGACGGTGGGCTTCAGTCTTTCACACAATACGCTCGATGAGACCTTGTAACCTATGCTTAGAAGACTGATCCCGCGGTAGTTGATGCGAAATTCTGGGTCACCTTTCATGTGGATTAGGCAGAGTACACTTAAATTCCAGTCGTCGGACATGCGTTTATTTGACCGTAATTTGCATAAGAGCTGATGGATGTAGCTTATCAGCTCCTCGCCGCCGCAGCGGATTCGCTCATTTCAAGGACTCACTTTCCTAACTGTAGGGTAATATCACAGGAGTTGAATACTCATGGAACGAAAAATCAAATAGTTAAGACTGGGCGACAAAATCTTTTTGAAGCTTTATAAATCTCCGGGACCAGACGGCATACTCAAAAATTGGTTAAAATGTTCAAAGAAGTTGTCTTTATGCCGCGATGTCTGAATTTAGTATCTCTGTGAAACGAATACGGTTGTGTAAGACGACGTTGAGAAAACCCTCGCAGCTTTGCATCTCTGTTTTCAACAAAAATTTTCCTATAAAGTTGTATATTCAACAATTTATATTGAGCTCGAGGCCGTTTTTTAAATGAAAATTTATTGTGGAAAAGCAACAATAATA